GCACGTTCAGAGCATCCTTTTTGAGTACAACACCTCTTATCAGGAGTCTTTAAAAACTTCTCCTTTCATGGTCACGTATGGACGTCTGCCCATCATTTCGGCTGATCATTTTTACCCTCGGCCGCACCTTCTGCCCTTTGAGTCCAATGTCGATTCGTCTTGGGAACACCATGAAGCACGAGTCGCTCAAATCAGGGTTTTGCAGAGCCAAGCAAAGCTACAGATCGAGCAGGCGCAAATTAGGCAAAAGGAAAATTATGCTCGTTGGAACAGTAAGCGCCGCGCCAGAGCAGATAAACTAACCAAGGGTGATTACGTGCTCATGCAGAAACCCGGTACTATCCGTGGCTTCCAGCTTCATTGGGAGGGTCCGTACATATTTAAAGGTTGGGTCAGTACGAGTCAGCGCCGCCTAGCTGTCCTGAAGGACAACCGCGGACGCGTGTGGTTCAGAAAAGGGGAAGAGATAGTCAGATTTGAGCCCCGTGAACAATTCGTTTATGATTACATTGACAATGGCCAAAACATTGATCCCGCTTCAGTCCAAAACCTCCCAGCCGATCCTCCTAACGGTGGAGACGGACCCCTTCCTGCAGCAAGAGCGCAAGATTCTGTCGAGCCTCAAATACTTCGACTTGGTGCCTTCAGTTATAAGGTCCTACGAATCCACGATCTTATCCAGGCTACCCGAGAGGGCCCTCCTCAAAATAGTAGCCGCTCTTGACATCACTAGTTTTGAGAATCTTGGATGCGTAAGCATTGCCCACCACGTGCAAATGCACGGGGTCAGATGCTACACAATTCATGCCTTTCTAGCTAACCCACGCTTTGCTTCTGACATCAAGATTAGCACCCTCTTGAAACGAACCGAAAAGGTTCAGACGTTTTCTTTTCCTTCCGTTAATACTTTTTTACTGATCGACATGCTCTCGAAAATTTTGTTGTGCTGTAAGAGTCTGCTACCGGAACGCAGAAAAGCTTTCAAGATGGTTCTGAAACCTTTTCTTTGCTCGGACTACTACCATCAAGCAGTTCAGAGAGTGGCTTATGACGTCAAACACGGCCACATCTGTCTTTTTCCTAAGAACGGAAAAGAATGTCGCTGTGCAGAACTTGCACGAGCTGCCCTCACACGGCAACTGGCCTTCGTTAACAGTCTCGGCGAATTACAAACTTCGACTGAAGAATGGAAAGCATTCTTCAGCCCGGTTCTTTTACCTTCCGAGCCGTTCAATTCTCTTCTAGCTACTAAGCCAATCTCCATCTTTTGTCAGTATATGCAGTTCTTTTGTCCAGAGCAAGGCGGGACTTCGAACATTCAGATTATCGGTGTTCCCTCGCCTGATATCAGCCCTCTAGACATCTTCGAAGAGGATCCATATAAAGGGCGTCAGAACACGACCCCCATAGGTGCTCGTCTGTCCGTCTTGACTTCTGTTTCTCAACCTACAGGCCCATCTCAAAGTCCACCAATGGCAGAAAACGACAGGCAACATCTCGTCGGGACAGCTGCAGCCAGCATTGCACCAGTCAACCCGATGCTTGACAAGCTCAAGGCGTTTTCTCAGCGTGGCGCGGTGCGGGGTTCTAGCGGACTTAGGGCCATTGACCGACTTGCGCCGTACGCCTGTGTCCAGCTTTAAGGGGGTTTGGCCGTTTATCTGATGAGCCAACGCAACAAGAAT